TGTGGCCATTGTAGCCGTTGGCGTTGTTTGAGAGTGAATGATATTGGCGTGTTATTGACGATTCCGTAACTCCGATGAGTCCGAAACAATTACGAATTTCTTCCGAAGTTTTATGTATATTTTGATGCACATCGACTTCTGAATAAAGCTCATGATCGACTGAGGCTTGACGTGAGCGTGGACTAGTGTTGAACTGTGGTTGTAGTGACGAGAAAGGGCCGAGCGAGGGGCTCTGCAGCGGCTTAGGACTGGAGCTGGAGAGCGGCGAGGAAGAAGGCGAGTTTGTGCCCGATGTACTACTGCGACGCAGATGTGATTGTATGATACCCTTTGCCGAATCTTGATATCCTTTTGGCAACCCAGAAAGTACTTTTGTCATCTGCGGCGTGTTACAATTGTACAATGCAACAAGACAGAGACGTGCTTGTCCACGTAACTCAACGCTCTTCTGATCACCGGCCAACTGCACAATCTTCAGTACTGCTTTTTCGACTTGTGATGAACCATCTTCGGAGGGAAAATCAGTGTTTTTACAATAGGTAGTCGCCAGATTTGTTAAGAATTTTAAAATTGCAATTTTCGTTTTTGCACTCGGGGTCTGTGCTGCATCTGTTAGTATTCGAAATACATCTTTCATTTGTAAATCTGTCGGAAAACTTTCGTGTACCAATTGTAAAGTTTTCCAAATTTTACCGTTCATAGAATTTAGTAAATCAGTGCCCAGCTTATTAAATAGTCGTGTCAATAATATAAACAACCAATCGTGTAAGTCATCAGCATTAGTCAATAATAACTCGTTAACTACATCTAGGAACAATGAATACACCTTTGTATGTGTGTCCATGAACATCTTTCGAAACATATCAAGTATATTTTGCAATTGTTGTGACGTTAATTCTTTTCCATCGGATAAATATTGCTGTAAGCTCGTCAAACCATCTCTACGATCGGACCAATGCTGCGAAGCACAGTACTGAATGATTGTGTTTATATCTTCATAGGGCGCACGAGGACAACTCCAGTCAAGCCGATTGCGCGAACCCGATAGTGAGTAATTTGAGTTGTTGCCACGCGTGAATGAAGAATCGAATGAACGTTCTGAGCAAACAGACGACGCTTCCGAATCGTCAGATTCATCGCGTGACAACAACCTACGTCCCACTCGTCCACTTGCAGAGAAACCACGACTATAGTCCCCATAGTCTCTATCCGTACCATCTGGCGACAGTGCATCAGCTAAAGCATTCTCAGCTTCGCGACTCTGTTGTAACATACGCGCAGCTGCTAACGGGCGCGAGGAATTGATACGATCCGGTGTACGACGAGACGTACCGGTACTGTACATACTACGCTTCATATTTACGCGCGTAGGGCTCGTTTCTCTAGAATTAGCTAAGGAGCGTGGTATACCAGACGCTTTCTTTGGGATTGTTCCAGTAATAGGACGATAGTAGTTATGATGCTCGCGTAGTTTCGAACTAGGTGAAGTTGAACGTGAACCTGGTTGTGACTGTGAAACACCTGCACGTCCACGTGTACGCGGGGGTACTTCAGGTTTCTGTTGTTGTAAGGGCATATTTGCTGAATTACTCGTCGCCATTAGCTTAGGTCTGGGTAAAGATCCAGTGACGGTGCTGTTCGTAGGTACATTATTCGCTTTTTTTCTTGCAAATAGCGCATACTGTGCACGTGCCTTGGCACGCTGTGCTGCTGCCGCATCTACTGCAGACACACTACGCATGCCAGCAGCTGGTTTTTGTATTGATCCTGGTGAACGCTGTATGCGTGTTGTAGCAGTTGTTGATCGCCTGTCATCAGGAAGTGAGCTGCAATCACGTTCTCTCTCAAGTGCACGCTGTGAAGCTATATCTAATGTGCCGTAAATTTGATCTGCTAAATCTGGAAAGTGTCGTTTAAATACCCAGTACGCGCGACGAGAATGCCTTCTGGCATCATTATCTGCATCCGAAATGCACTTCTTTAATGTATCCCGCAGAACTGTAGCATAGCGTTCCATTGACTTGGTTTGCCATTCCTCAAACAGCAAGCACATTATCTCACATAATGCCGCACGTATATCTTTCGATTTAGAAGTTTGTAATGTATCTGTAAGGATTTTAATTAATTTTGGCGCATGTGTATATTTGATTATGTATTTTAGTGCAATAGTCGCCGAGGAGGCCATCACCTTAGCAGAGTTTTGTATTAAATTAATTAATTGATCTAATATATATGCGCTAAATACATCTAGTTTATTGCGGAGTGTCTTCGACAAGTAGGCAATGGTGATGCAGGTCTCACGTATTACTTGGGAGCGCAATTCTTCTTTGAGAATGTCTAGGAATGATAAAGAAAGTTCTTTTAATTGAACACTAAACTGCGGTTGGCCGTGTATATTTAACATTAAAAGCGAGCGAATTTTCTTTAACGAATCCACACGTTTTTCCCAATCATAATTTTTATCACTTATAATCACAAGTATATTTTTGTAGACATCATCCATATCCTTTGGATGAAATATCGTTAACTGTGGCACAAGTTCAAATGTTGCTTCAAAAATTTCAATCGTTACTGCACCAGCATCACCCGTTGCAGGCGCTTCAGCAAGGTTTACTTTACTTCTCATTGCTGATGACAAGTTACGCTTCACTATTCTTGTAGGACGTTCCCTCACACTGATATTATCACCTTCATCATGCCCATTATTTGAATTTTGTGAATTAAGACTGGCTGATTTTAACAAAAGCCCTTCACCTTTTACTTGATCAAATTTTTGCTCTAATATAGCTAATTTTGAAGCAGGCACATCTTCCATTTTTCTTAAATCAGGTCTCAAACGCTCACCAACATGTTTATAAATTTCCACTAACGTTTGTATGGCAGCGTCACGTACTGTTAGTGACGGATCACCCAGTAGACCACAGATCGGTTGTATATATGTTCTTACGCCTAATTGTGAGGTGCCATATTCATTCAATGTATTCACTATTGTTTGTAAAAATTCTTCTCGTACTTTTGAATTTTTGTGCTTAAAACAAACTGTGGCCAATTTATCGATGGTGTTCTGAGGTGTTAACACTTTGTGTTCCATCATATTTTGTAATAGTAATTGCGCCTTCTCCCGTACTGTATCTTTGTTATCGCCTAACCTATCAATAACATGTGGCAGCACTGTAGCTGTATATGCATTAAAATCTGGTCCAAGACGCTTTATCAACTCTGAAAATGCCTCCAGTGATTTTTGCGCTATTTTGAAATGGCTGCCGGTTAACCATGGCATTAAACCATCAACTAGTAAACCCATATCCATGCATATTATAGAATTTGTCTCGTCACTGAGGAATGTCACCAAATCTTCTGCAAGAAATGCTTTTACGCGCATATCCGCTTTCGGCATCATTTGGATGAAACCATCCAAGTCGGTTGGCTTACGATACGCCATCTTTTTTAATTGATTCGTGAATTTGCCTTCGGATTATTCGATTTTGTGTTTCACTGAAAAAGAAAGAAAGATAACTATATTAAAATAGGTTTATTTTCAAATGATCAAATATAAGAAATAAATTAAAGACCACTGATAATGGGTATTTGGCAATACCCGAAACAGCTGTATGGTCAGCCAAAAATTCAATCATTTAAAATAATAAAAAAAATAAAATAATAATAAAAATAATGTTGTTGTTGTGATTTACTACTGTTCGAAATACCTCTCTATTTAAAACAATAGTTTATATCTATAATTTATTTCCTTTCGTTCAAATTGACGTTGAAAGTCAAATCAATATAAAAAGGGTTCAGTAAATTCTTTTATTTAGTCAAGATGACTAAATAAGTCGGGAGGACTAAATAAGTCGGGAGTCCTTAGTGGGAGTAGTCGGAAGGACTACTTTTGCCTTTGGAGAGAAGTGCTGTTATTATCGATAGCAATATATGTCCTGTACTGTATCAACTGGTCTATCAATGCATTATTCGCTAAAAATTCAGTAAAATTATCTTAGCTTTAAAACTAAAGTTATATGTACCTGTGGACTTTAAGTTCTCAAAATGTTTTGATCTCAGATATATACAAACAATGAAAGAGCAAAACTTAATTTCGATATGTGATGTAAAGAGCATATAATATATGGTCTCCGATGGCCTTCTTTCAAAATGCTCTCAACATTATAAAAATTCTAAGAGACATATACAATGAAAAATATCTTAAGCAGATACCGAAGGGACTAGCAATTTAGTCCGATTAAAGGATAAATTTCTTTAAAGGAATATACTTCATATAGGTATTCTGGACTGTCAATAATGCATGTTTAAGGGAGATGTGCGTTTATGAGTGTTACAAGCTTTAACTATAATCGAAATAAAAACATTGTTTTATATTTATGAACAAAGGAATTAAATATATGAATTTACAGAATAATCAAATACTTGTAAGTATTATTTTTAATTTTAATGACTATTATTGGTTGTGAGACAGAGAAGATATTGAGAAGGTCTGATAATTTATATTATATTTATATATGTATTATATATTAGTTATATTATATTTCAATCTCATAATGCTTTTTAATTAACCAATTAAAATTAATATATATGTTTATAATAATTGTATGTTAAGAGTGTATTAGTTAAGAAATGCACCAAAATTATATTCATAGAAATTTCAGAAAATAGAAGACAAAATACCATAAACAGTTCTGAGGTGTGGCCACTAGACAAAATTTCTTGCTCCCACTTTGGATAAATTTAAAATAATAAAATTTTGATTTTAATTATGTATAAATTAAAAAATCAAATTTTGGATATAAAAAGCAATGCATTGAAGCACAACGCTTTCGGTTAAGGCATAAATGAGTGCATCAAATGTATGGACACAGATATATTTCCACAAAATAAATCTTTTCTTTTCAGAATTGCGAGATTTACTACATTTTTTTTATATTTACGATATTAAAATTATCATTTTTGCTAAAGTAAACAATATTTAAAAATATTATAGATAAAAAATAATCATCTAATATATAACTAAAGATTAGATAAAGTAATAAAATTAATTTTTAATATTATATTCAGATCTAATAAAATGTACAGCATATAACAGAACATAATTGGGAAATAAGTTTAAAGTTAAAACGGTCCTATATGCCAACAGCATCGGGAGTGTTGTAACTAGATAAATAAAAACTATGTTCTAGACAGCTTTTCTCTAATATGGTTGATCGTCCTAAAAAAGCAGGAAAGGATTTATATGCCATCAGAAACTATTAATTACTTTATATAAAATATAGAGATTTTATAGAATATTGGCATTTATGAATTATAAGAGTATTTATGTTAGATAAACTTAGGGCATTATTCGATGTCGTGCAATACTGTTTTCTTTTACTTTTATTTTTTAAACAATAAAAAATTTATACAAACATTTCTTCTTGAAATTTTCGGTAAATTTATCTTATATTATGTTTTCATTTTTATTTTACTGGTACTGGTAGCTGCCACTTTAACTCATGCTTATTTTGATGTATATATTTAAGCTAAATTGAGCACTGACTGCTTGCGTGATTGATGTGAAAAAATTCATTTCTTAATTAATATGAATTCAATAAAGTTGAGTAACTTAGAACTTACAGGACTCAAAGAACTTTCTTGATTGAGTTTACAAAATTTATATTCATGTTTTAGCAAAAGTTGATAACTATCTGGACATGTTATTCTTAATGTATACTCCTCAAGTATAGCTCACAATCACCTTCAGGGTTTCGAAGTTCACAAAGCAGTAAAATGATATGAATAAAAATAGTAACGTTCTCAGTTTATTGAAGTTCAGTATCCTTTTTTTTTTGACTATATTAATTGATTATATTTTGTACCTTTTGTTATTTTAAAGGTAATTGTCATATGAGGTCAAAATAAGTTTCTTTTTTAATTTTTGTTTAATTGTTGAGTAGTCAATCTATGGAGAGAAAAATATTTTATTAATCAATTCCAATAAATATTGAATGTATTTTAATTAACACTCTTATTGATTTTATATATTCTCGCATTAACATGCACTTTGAAGCGATCGAGATCGAATATCAATTAGCTCCTCATTCGTAAAAACCGATCTTTTCTATACGGTATTACTTAAAGATATCAAATCGATTATCGACCATAAAACAAATTTCGTAGAACTTAAAGGTGATACTGAGTCCAACATACTGACAATTTGCAAAAAAAATCCTTACAATTCAGCAGGAAACCTTAAAAATGAAAATTATTGGAAGAATTTCTGTAAAATGTTTAGTTAGGTGGACTTTTTTATTTATAGGAAGTGAAAGTGGAACCTCGATCAAGTTAAAAAGCTACCAGAGATATTGCAACTAAATTTATATAAAAAATATATTTTCAAGTGCTGCAGGTTCGTGTAAAAATTTTGAGCACTCTTCATGTTATTGTTGTGAAGAAAAGAGATCTTTTTAATAAATTAGAATATACAAATATATGGGTTAGGATATGAATTGTGTACAGATAGTGAGAAAAATAAGGTTTGCTAAATAAAGAAACCTTGTCACTTCAACGTGTCAGAACCAAAGATCAATAAAGCTCAAATTATTGTACACGTTGTGATATGAACTGTAGTTATAGGATATATATGGCAAATAACAGTTTAATATATTGAATATATTATGATCTCAATTGAGCTATGCTAGTTCTTGCTGTACGTGGAAGGCGTCGTTCTTCTTGGGTGATATTAGGTGGGCATTTATTGAGAGCTTTGCATCTGTGTGTAGAGATCTTAGTCCACGTTTATATTCGACCTCACTGATTTTAGATCTATTGCAATGGGTGTCAATATACCCATGATATAAAGAAAGAGATCCATCATGAAGGTAGGGATCTACTAACATGATGACATTGGGGTAACCATTTGTGTGACATTCAAAAAGATATTGCTTAGACAGCAGTTGGTTATGCTTTTTTTACAAAAAGAATTTGATACTAATAAATTTGATAATTTGATGATAATAACTTGACTCAAATCGATCTTTGGACTCACCACATTGAAGTGACTAGGTTTCTCTGTCTTGATCTAAGTGGACTTCAATTTAAATCTTATCTATCTCTAATACATTCCCTACCCATTACCGCTAAACAATCCTCTTGTGTCTTACTTTACCTTCACGTATATAAACTCATTTCTTATCCGAAATCAATCCCCTCTGGTTAACTTCAATTTAAGTCCTACTTATCTGTAATACATTCCCTACCCTTTATCTCTAAACAATCCACTTGTCTCTCACTTTACCATCACCTATTCACATTATAAACTCATTTCTTATCCCTAATCAATCCCTTAGTATCCCACTTAACCATCACCTATTCACATCATATATACATTTGTAATTCTTTTGTTGTTGTTGTTGTTGTAACCCGCCGGGACCTGCTTGTGTAATCCCTTTGGGGGTGGTCGAACTGCACTTGGTTGTCTTTGACGAGTGGCTCCGAGACGTAGACCCGGCCGTTCTTGGAACCTTGTAATTCTTTTCATATTATTTGCTTTCTAGATCACTGTGGACTACAACTACAACAAATATATGATTTTTTTTTTTTGTTTTGCACAGTACGACACAAAATTTCTAATTAAATATATGCAATGATGTTCATTATAAAAATTATTTTAAAATTAATTTTAAGAAATATTCAATTTAATTTTATTATTATAGATATATAATTTGTATATAAGTGCTAATAAATATTTTATTGGTAAATACTATTGATTATTTGTTAATTTTTAAAACGCTGTTAGACTTTCATATGACTGGGTCAGTGGATCAAATCAAACAATTATGGTTTGTTGTGTTGTCGTTTGATTTGCAAGAAATTTCTTTTTCTCTCTTACAGGTGGAGTGGGTCAGATATTCTTTATGACAAATCGATCCAAAAGAAGGTATCTCTTAAAGACAAAATACAAAAAAAAAAAAGAAACAGCAAAAGGTGTTTGTAACACGTTTGAACCAATTATGGAACGACAGACAAGCATGCATGCAGGCATGCCGTTTACTTTTATGTTAATAAAGCAATAAATTCCAACTCCTCACACTTTCCACACCTCGCCAAACATCAGCGAATTTCTAGGGCAACAGGAAAGCGACTTGATGCAGGACAGCAAAGGTGGCGCACAGTACTTTTTCTGTAACGTCGCTCTCTTTGGTAGTGGCAAAGATAACGTTCGCTGCTAGCTACTTCACAGTGGCGGGTGGTTAAGCTTACTTGGTAATGTGAATACGTGGAGGCGAGGGTAGTTATGTGAGTGAATCATCTTTGTACAGAATAGCATAACATGTTTTCACTTTTTTTTTTTTATTTGATTTATTTTTTATTCGCTGATTTGTATTCTACATACAGAAACGTTTAATTCTTGTTTGTTTTTGTTTTTGTCTTTGTTTTTGTTGTCGATTATAGATTATTGCTTATGTTTTTTTAATTTATTTATTGTTTGCCAAACGTTTATGGAAATTATATGGCCAAACTCGAATCCGATATGAATGAACGTCACAAAGCAGACATGGAATAGCAACGATACGAAGAAAAACAGCTACAATAACAACAGCAAACAATTACCGACTGAGCCACAACAACAGCAACAACAATAAGAACAAAGTAAATAATACGATAACAACAACAACAGTGCATACGCAATTTTCTATTTATAAGCATCGTTGACTTGGTTGGAGTCTTTAAAGTAATTTTCGCATAAAGATGTCGATAAAAGCTGATGACGATGACGATGACAACGACTACGACGACTATAACGACTACAACGAACTGCGACAGCGACAACGACAACGTCCACAACTGTTAGTTAAATAGCGGACGTTTATTAAAAGCTGTGAAACTCACTAAATAAATGATTAAATGAATAACAATTTGTCACATTAGAAAGTATGGCTAGGAACATACATGTTAGAGGTTAATGATGTGTACACAGAAACACAGAAATCAGAAATCGGCGGAAATATCAACAACAAAAGAATTTACACACAAAACATTTATGACAATAATTTCATTTCTTTTCTATTAGACATTTATTATTATTATTAATAATTTTATTTAAGCTCACCAATTTATTTTTTTATACGGAAACGAAGGCAGCGAACAGAGCAGTTGGCTGCTACGTTAGTGCTTTGTAGCTTTTGGGTTGGGCAGCGGCAACAAACTGCGGCGGCGATGTTAGCTGCTGCGTTGCCTCTTTGCCAGCGAAAAAAAATTGATTTTCCAGCGGCACTGTTTGGGGCGCGTTTATGTTTGGTGTCCTGCAAGAATATTTGCAATCATAATTGATTTCTTTGCTCTTTAATCTGCATATCACATTAATATTTATTTTTATATCGCGTCATTTGTGGAAAATTCTATATTTATTTATTAATTTTTTCTAAAAAATTTTATGCGAAACGACCGCTGATTGTTTCTCTACTCACTCACAAAATTCCAATGTCTTCTTTGGCCTTTCGGTCCAACTGCTTTTGCCTCTTTTCTTCTCACTGCTTTATTCACTTTATTTGCTTGCTGATATTTTTCCGTCACTTTTTTGGCTTATGCTGCGGCAGCTTTTTATTTTCAATTCAATTTGATTTAATATCTTATTTATATAACATTAGCACTGCATTTAATTTACAAAAGATTGATTACTATTCATATTTTACTTAAATCTTTTTTATATCTTTTCAACATCTTTTATTATTTAATTATCAATTTATTTCTCGAAAAACTTGACACAGCTCCGCAACCGCAGTGAAAAATTCTTGTATTTTTTTTAAATTATGTCATTTCTTGGTAATGCAAAAAAGATAACAAAGCAAATGCGAAAAATATAAATTTCAAATATAGATGGCGCAATAAGAATTTTATTAGGTGAAAAACTATACTAAACGTGAGGCTTTCAAGAATTTAATATAAATTTATAAATGTATTTCACATTTATATAGAATATATTTAATACACAGAATATAAATATTTTAATATAAATATTCAAAAATATATTTATAAAATTTTTAATTTATTGTTTTAAATGTTTTATATACAATTCTTAAAATTTTTTATATTTAAAGCCAAATAACATGTTTCCACTGCAACTAAAGCTACTTCAGTTAATGAAATTAAGATTTGGTCGTTTTCATTGGCATAAACTGATTTATGCATGTTAAATAACTTGTTCGTTTACATTTTACAAATAAAATATATAGCAAATATTTGAAATTTTAATAATTTCCTTTGTGGGGAATTTGTTTTTAAGGGTTGCATTTGACATTTTTCGCCTTAAATAAGTTGATTTATTGTTTATAAACTCATATATATGAAAACACTTTGTAAGTAAAATCATTAGCGGCATTAATAAGCAAAACTGCTCAAATGAGACAAGTGGAAACATATATAAAAGAAATTTATTCTAATTTAAAATTATAATTAAACTTGTTAACAAATAAGTTATTTTAAAAACTGTAAATATATTTTAATTATATTAAATCTAAACTCAATTATAAAAATTTGTTATATTTAAAGCCCAAAAATTGTTGTATAAATTAATTTATAAATTAATATATAATATAACTTAAATTATACCAATTAAACTAAGTAGGAAACATATTATTTTATAAATTAGAAACAATTTTTTTTTTATATATTTTTATACGATTTAATTAGTTAATATTAAATAATATATGACGTTTTAATTTAGTTTAAAAAGTATATCATTATTATTTTTTATTTTATGATGACCGATACAACAACAAATTAAATATATAAGACAATAATATAATTTTATAATACCATAACAATTAAATGACATATATATACAGAAGTTATACTTTCATTCTACATATATATTATACTAAAGTCGAAAATATTCATTATAAAAATAATTAATTTTTACAATAATTTTTGGTTTTAAATATTTATATTATATTAAATATATAATATAATTTATAAAATTATAAATCTGAAAATTATTACATAAATACAATAATTTATTTTATTCTATAAAAATTGTATTATTTTTATATTATTATGTAACACATCACTCAATAAGTCGTGTGATTGACACACAGATGGCGCTGCTATTTTCAAATCCATATGACGTTTATGAAGTACCAAAATTCAAAATACCAAAAGTGACAGCCATTTATGTAAAACTACTCTTATTTTCAAAACAATGGATTCAAAACAATTTCGTGTGTTAATTTATCATTGGTTCTTGATCAAAAAAGTACTGTAAAGGCTCAGTAATGGCTTCAAACGTGTTATCCGGACTCTGCTCCATCAAAAAGAACCATTTGTTATTGGTTTAATGGTCGTACAGACACCGATGATTGTGAACGTTCTGGTCGTCCAATTGAAGTGGTTACTCCAGAAAACATTAAAAAAGTCCGGAAATTGCTTATATCTGATCGTAAATTGAAATTGGATGAGATAGCTGAGACCGTAAAGATATCAAAAGGCTGTGTGTTTACAATTATGCATGAACATTTGACCATGAGAAAGCTCTTTTCAAAGTGGGCGTCGCGTTTACTCATAGTCGATCAAAAACAATAACTTGTTGATGATTCAAAGCAGTGTTTGGTCATGTTCACACGTATTAAATCATAATCATATATTATTTGCGTCGATATGTGACAATGGAGAAAACATGGATCTTTCACTTCACCCCGTAGTCAAAACGATCATCATCTGAAAGGACTGCAGCCGGTAAACCACGTTCGAAACGTCCAAAGGCACAACAGTCAGCTGGGAAGGTTGTGGCTTCAGTATTTTGGGATGCACATGGTATAATCTTCATTGACTAACTCGAAAAGGAAAAA